TAAGAGGCTTCATTTCACCAACAGTTCCACTCGACAATCGATTACAATATTCTTTAACTCTGTTCTGTCAGCCATCGTAACAAACGCATCAGTGACATTTGATATCATTGTGACCTTCTTCAACGTTCAAACTTTAATGGGTCATAGCTGATTGTTATTTTTAATGGATTTTTAATTTTAATGGATGTAAATGAATTTCTATATTTTTAAATTAAATTTTAAATGAATTTGTTTAATCCAACACTATATTATTATTACGTTATTTTTTAGTAGATAGAACTGAGCTCTGCTTGATCTCGATGGCTTTCCGTGGCAATATTGAAAACTGTACACATCAGCTATAAGATTGGTTTCGCTGATGGAAAAAAGAGAATTTAGGCTCGATTTTTGTTGACAGAAAAAAATTTTCTTTAGTAGAACTTCTCGATCTAGACCGGCTGATATTAATGTTGATAATACTGTCTAAGGAAAATAAATAATTTCAAAGCAACGACTAACTAGTGTATACGAGACGCGGAAGCGCAAATCTCGTCGCACTATACACTAGTTAGTCGTTGCTTTGAAATTTTTCATGCAACAAAAACAGGCTATAATTATTGTTTCGTCCGTGTATTAGTTGATAGATTGAAAAGTATTTGTCATCTTTGATAATGGCTTATGTAAGCCGAAAGCTTAGATAGGATTTAAACAGGTATCAATATAGTGATTTCTTTTCGTTCTTCAATGATAATGTTAAGCTTATCAGACAATATGAAAGGAACTTACCTAAAACAAATAGACAAAACTTGTCTATATTATTTAATGAAACATGCATCAATGAAAAATTGCTGCTAAATATATATATATATATATATATATATATATATATATATATATAATCTGGGACCTGGCTGTGTTTTTAATGAGTCTCGTATATGATGTGTAAAGTTGTCTGTGTAAGTTTCTTTAGCATGCTCCTAAAACGGTATGTTGGTATTGGTGGGGGAGCAGTTGAGTTTGCAAACACATGTGTTGCACTTCCCAGTACCATTCCTTATCAATTTCTCACCTGTCTGTATCTACCTACCCGATTATGCGAATGCATCACTTCACCAGATTACTATATTAGTGCACAGGACTTAGCAAACTTTACATCTTTTGCCCGGGCCACTAGTCTACAGATAAGAAGAGTCACAAAAACGTTTTTAATAGAATTAGAGCGACGGTTAGCAGGCTTCTCTCTTTAGGCAATTTGCACCTCACTGTGTAATTACTAACATTTATTTTGTGCCAGTCTTCATGTTCTTTTATGTGGCGTGACCATTCAAGAATTGAGCGATCATGGTTCTCCACAACTTCCTATATTTTTCTTCTTACTATCCCTATCCAACCTCGCTCTGCCATCTATTAACAGAATCTTGTTAGATAGTTTACTCGCTCTTACACTCTGTCCTTTCTTTGAAATATTGATGGATGAGCGGGTGGTGTAATAGATTACGGCTCGGAATTGGAAATCGGAGAACCGAGTTCCAATTCCGCCTAGTCTCGTTATATTCACTTACGTGAAAATGCCTTTGGGAAATGTATGAATCCACGTCTTCAGCCCCCAAGCTATGGGTTAATTAGTATGGTTGATAACACGTAAAAAACAAATCTGTTATGTGCCGTGATCCTTCAGGATGTGAGCAATCGTGGCTCTCCACAACCACCCATCCCTTGTAGCTCTTAGCAACGATTCTCCCTTGCCATCTTTCCCACCCCGTTCCGCCATCCATTCATACAAGCTGGCTGAGTAGGTGACCCACTTCCTTCCCTTGTCTCTTTTGCCTTTGATATGTCCTGTGAGTGTCAAATTCTCCAAGTCCTCCTCTCTCATTATGTGTACTAGTAATTTCAGCTGTTTCTTTTTTATTCTGTAGGTTTTGAATTAAGAGCTGACCTTCTTGACTGGTTGGTATTCAAGACTAGAGATTTCTTGGGAAAGATAGTGATGTAGTTTCCCGTTGCCTTCTCAATGGTTTTGTATTGGTACTAGTTTTACTCCAAAGATGGCTTTCATTCCGTAATGATAGAAAAATAAATAAATAAACAAATAATAGGGAGATCAAAATTTAACTATCTCTAAAAATAGATATATATGCAGAATGACTAGGCCACAAAGCACTATTTTGACCAACCAATCAGAAACCTTTCCCAACCAGGATAGAAGATCTTGAGTCAATAAGCGGGCTTCTGGATATGTATATAACAAGATTGAAAATCAACCTAAACCAGAATCGATAAATCAATATTGACCATTTTCCGATGCTACGGTCATTGTAACATACCCAGAGATGAAATATGACATTAGTTGGCGACTTTAGACGATTATATCGTCCTGCTACATTTTAAAAACTTACATCATTTATTTCACCACCTTTTAAGCAGCCCTCTGCTACATTTGAAAACATACATATATACATATATATACATTTTACTTTTTCCCGGACTCTCTCTGATCGGAAATTGGAGGTTTTGAGGAGCGTGGAACCACCTCTGCTACTGTTCCCAGGTCCACTCTGACCCGAGGTAGTAGCTCCTGTTAGGGTCCCAGCTATGGGTAAATAGTGAACACCAAAACAAAAGTCAACTGTATATTTTTATAGTAAAATTACCAGCAATACATTTTTATGCAGTCTGATTACAGGCTCCGGAAAAAATTACAGGCGGGGCGAGATTTGAAAGAATCAATTTGTTTCTCGGTGACTTTTCATAGCGAAAAAGACGTATTTCTTTCGCTCGCGTAAAAAATGTAAGTCCTCAACTACAGACACTGAAGGTTGCTTTGAGTTTTTCACATCTCATTTCATTTTTTCCTTTTTTAAAATCTCCAATCGATATATTTCTTAATATTTCCTTCTTCATATTCTATGTCTTAGTTTTTCTTTAGACTTACACGAGCCCACCAAAGATTTTTGCGGCTCAAATGTACGAGGAGCATATCAAATCTTATCAAAAGGATTGAGGCCCGCAACAATACCAAAATATAAAATATAACAATACATTTTTCTAATGAAATTACCAGCAACATATTTTTTAAATTGCCAACAATGCATTTTATTATCTACAAAATATATATCTAAAAACCATGAAAATACAAATTAAAATTATTATAACAGAATTGTGCATTCTTTGCAATATTACTTCAAACCTTATTATAGTCCTGGGTATAACGATAAACTACATCCGGCAGTAAGGTTTCTGTTCGGGATCTTGGAGGTTTTGAGGAGCGTGGAACCACCTCATAATTGCTGTTGTTCCCAGGTTCAACCTGACCCGGAGTGGTAGCACTTGTTAGGATCTCAGCTATGGGCAAATAGGGAGGCTCCAAAAAAGCACTATGAAATGTATTTTTGGTAAATTAAAAATATGGATTGCTGGTAATTTAATATTAATTGCTCAACCATTATAGACACAATACACCCCCTCACACACACACACACACACACACACACACACACACATATATATATATATATATATATGTGTGTGTGTGTGTGTTTTAAGACATTTTTATGTTTATACATTCTTTTTATAGATACAAATATTTAAGTAAATGCTGTGTTTATAATAAACAGTATTAAACAACATTTACCGGCCTGAATGTCCGAGAAATTTTCATAGAAAATTTTCGTCCTCCGAATGTATAAACATAAAAATGTCTTAAAATAATTGTCGGACTTTGTCTATTTCATAATGTGTGACGTCATATATATATATGTGTGTGTGTGTGTGTGTGTGTGTGTGTGTGTCTGTGTGTGTGTCTGTGTCTTTTATGCTTGAGTAACACATTATTTCTTGTGTCTATAATGTTTAAGAAATACATTTTTATAGTAAAAATTATCAGCAGTACATATTTATAGCAAAATGGCCAACAATACATTGTATAGTAGAAATACATTTGATCTGTAGTTGAAGGCATAAAATTGCGTACAAAATATTTAGATTTTGGCATTAAATGACCCATTCCTCTAAAGAAAAACCACTACATTTTCTTTTAGCCATTACGCAAAGCCAATACATAAAGCCATAATAGATAGATGGTGGAAACGAACATTATCATAAGATAATCTCCACAAATCCACCATAATCTAAGGTTAGTGATCCTGGTCTACTTTAATATTTAACTTATTGCTGGGGTTGGGGGAAGAGATGGATTCATGCCTTCTGAAATGGTGAAAGCGAAGGCAGAAAACTACACTGGATATTGAACTCAGTTCCTCTATTTCAATATATGCACCGAACGTAGTCCCAAAATAGTATAGCCACAGTTTTTCTGTTCCTAAGTTTGTTAAACCTTGTTAAAAAAAAATGGACGGTCTGAAATAAGTGTGAATTAAGCAATTTTTTATTCACCCTAATTAGTTTGTCGTTACAAATGCAGAAAGGTTTATCATAATTAATGACATTAATCTTTTTGTTTTGTTTTTCGCTTCTTCTGTTTTCTTATTTTTTTTTTTCATTTTAATCTGATTCATTTTTTATTAAATGTTAAAAAATCCTACAAAATATTTTATGTTAAAATGGCGCATTATCCCAAGTTGTTAAAATGGTTCATAAATTGTGAGTTTATTTAGGATAAGATAATCATCTTATACCTACTGGGCCATATATGCATGTTTGGTTTAATTTTATATTCAAGATTAAAAAGAAAATGAATATTTGTAGTAGGTTGCCATAATATACATATTTCCTCAACCATTATGCGTGTATATGCGTGTGTGTCTTTATCTTTTATGCTTAAGTAACAAATTATCTCTTCTTTCTATTTGGAAACCTACTGGGAAGTAAATTTGTCCTTTTTATCTCTATTTGTTTCTCTGCACATCTCTCTCTCTCTCTCTCTCTTCTCTCTCTCTCTCTCTCTCGATCTATCTAGCTCTCTTTCTACAAAGAAAGAAAGAAAGAAAGAAAGAAATGTTTACAGTGTTCTTATATACTAAGTTTACTAAGCTTATCTTAGTTTGGAACACGGCCAAGTAATGTTTATCTATCTCTGTTCATTAATCTATCTATCTATCTATCTATCTATCTATCTATCTATCTATCTATCTATCTATTTATGTCTGTTCATTAATCTATCTATGCCTGTTCTTTATCTATCTATCTATCTATCTATCTATCTATCTGAAAAGAAAGAAGGAAAGAAAGAAGACGTTTTCAGTGTTGTTATTAACAAAGTTTACTAAGCTTAGCTTAGTTTGGCACAAGGCCAAGTAATGTTTATACAATACGTAGAAATGCATAGGCTAAACTGGAGATATCGTAATTTCACATGCCCAAACAAATGAATTCTCGTTATGTATTTTTTTTTATACCAAAATGACAAACTTTTTTTCAGCAGTTAGAAACAAACACAGTCCAACTGGTATTTGTCGAAAACCGTTTTTTTTATTATTCTATTTATTTTTTTTTCAATTCTTTTAGTTGCATCTGCTCTTTATGTATTACGCGCATTTTATTTCCCCTTTTTTTTTTCTTGCCAGAATTCGGGGGATGAAGATGAAGGAAAGTCTTAATCAGTGCAGCAAGGGAGGAGGAGCCATTTTGTCCATCCTCGAGTCAAGCCGGAGTTTATAAACGGGTAAATAAACAGAAAATATGCAGTCATCTGCAGAAATTCCGGTGATAGAAACCAAAAGATGCTACTTTTGCCTGGGAATTAGAGTGTCAGTTGCAAAACGAAACACGTTCTTCAAGAGAAAGTTTACATGGGGTGACCAGCCTCCGATTAGTCTCAATTAAATCAACATTTGTTTCCGCCCACTCACTCACTCACTCATTCACTCACTCACTCACTCATTCATTCACTCACTCACTCACTCACTCATTTCCACTTCTAGCTCTCTTTCTCTCATTAGTTCTTAGGCCTGGCAAGAATGCACCCCCAAGTGTTACATTTTTTATTACAGTGAGGTTCGTCCTGTACAAAGCCCAATAACCGCACAAGGTAGGGGGTTAAGGAGTAACAGTCACCGTTTATGCTACCTTAGTATTTAACTTATTGCTGGGGTTGAGGGAAGAGACGGATTCATGCCTTTCTGAAATGGTAAAAGCGAAGGCAGCAAATTACACCAGAAATTGAACTCAGTTCCCCTATTTCAATATCGCGCCGAACAGAATCCCAAAATAGTATAGCGACAGTGTTTTTTTTTCTGTTCCTTAGTCTGTTAAACCTTGTTAAAAAAAGAAATGGATAGTCTGAGATATATGTGGGAATTATGTTAAAGATAATGGTTAATCCTAGACGATAAGATTGTCGTGATTGAGAAAGCATCTTCTTGGGAGTAGGTTTTTACAGAGAAGTGGTTCACGGGAAGAAGGTTCTCGAGTTAAGCTTACATATCAACAAAGGAATACGAAAGAAATTAGGACGGTTTGCCATAATGCGTGTAGCATGGCGGGTCCTAGCCGTGAAGGTTAGAATTGGTGGAACTAAGGAACGTAGTTCGGCTGAGCACTTTCCATGTAATTACCAATAGGGCAAAGAGAGAGGCTTGCTACAGCCCATCTATGAGAGAAGAGTTACAGAGTGGAAAATAATTTGTCCCTCACAAGGATGCGTCGACGCTTTTGGAATCTATCGAGGCTGAAAAGTGAGGATTGTGCAACCCCTGCCTAAATATGGCAACAGTACTCCATTTTCGGCCTGATCTGACTCTAAAAGATAGCACGAGGAGTCAAGAACTTACTGGAGTGAACAGACAATTTTCCTGCATCTTTATCGATGGATTTTATGCACGAGTTCCACTTGAGGTCTGAATAGAGTTTAAGGTCCAATCCTGGCTCAAGGCACGGGGCCTCATTGAGGGAGCATCCATCCATCGTTTCGGGTAGTAGTTCAGGAACCGATCAGCGATGATGCTTAAAACAAATGAGGAATGTTCGAGAAGAGATGCCAGAAATCTTTTTTTCCGTTTTACTACTATTGAAAGAAAATATAATATATATTTTTTACTCGAACTATACCGAAATCAAAGAGTTCACAACTCGCAACGCTGTTAATTCTAAACTATTTAATAAATATTAAATAGCTGTAGAGTGCCCAGTATACCCAAAGGTGAGAGTAGGTATTGAATTTCAATGTTTTCCTTCTCCTAGACTGTTTACCAACCATGGCTAGAGATCTCTGTCTATGTTTCTATTTAAACTATAGCTGGGACGAGTGGGCTTTAAGAAGAGACAGATTCATACTTTTCCCAAGGATAATTTTACAAAAGTAAAGGTAACAAACTCGAACTCTGTTCGTCGATTTTGTTTTACGAGTCGCTAACCGTTATAGTAGCCGAACATCCGGGCATCAGAATTGGACACGTAAACCTTTGGGCATCACAGATCCAAACATCAAATCTAGCAAAAATAAAAATAAAAATCCTTGAAGTAATTCTACCGCTTGCGACTACATCTCTTTTTAGACTAGCATTTACTCCCCTACTTCCAATACAAGCAAAATTCAGAAATCGGCTGGAAGTTCAACGTGACATGCGTATTGCTCTCAGCAACAAAATGCCACACATTTCAAAGTTAATTAAGAAAAAGCAACAACAGACAGCATATTAAATGGTTTTATTAGTAATATCTTGATACAGACATTCAATTTAACATCTAATCAATTCTAACAATTTATTTACATGTTTCAATATTAGATCCGTCAATTTGGACTTTTTAAAAGAATATATTATATAATATTAATTATAACAATTATTCTAACACATGAAAATACAGCAATACACGAGAAAATGTCTCGGTTTTTCTATTTTAATCTTCTGATGGATTTTAAAATTGAAAAGGTTTTCATTCTACGTGAAACACATGAGAGTGTTATCGCCAATTCTATCTAGGCTTTCTTTCTTTCTTTTTCTCTTTCTTTGTTTTTTCTTTCTTTCTTTCTTGCTTGCTTTCTTTCTTTCGTTTTTCCTGTCTTTCTTCCATTTTTCTTTCTCTCTTTCTTGCTTTCTTTCTTTTTCCTTTCTTTCTTACGTGTTTCTCTTTCTTCCTTTCTTTCTTTTTCCTTTCTTTCTTTCTTTCTTTCAACCTTTCTTTCTTGCTTTCTTTCTTTCTTTCGTTTTCCCTGTATTTCTTCCTGTTTCTTTCTCTCTTGCTTTCTTTCTTTTTCCTTTCTTTCTAACTTTTTCTCTTTCTCCCTTTCTTTCTTTTTCCTTTCTTTCTTTCTTTCAACCTTTCTTTCTTGCTTTCTTTCTTTCTTTCTTCCTGTCTTTCTTCCTTTTTCTTTCTCTCTTTCTTGTTTTCTTTCTTTTTTCTTTCTTTCTTACTTTTTCGCCTTCTTCCTTTCTTTCTTTTTCTTTTCTTTCTTTCTTTTAACCTTTCTTTCTCTCTTTCTTTCTTTCTTTCTTTCGTTTTTCCTGTCTTTCTTCCTTTTTCTTTCTCTCTTTCTTGCTTTCTTTCTTTTTTTCTTTCTTTCTTACATTTTTTCTCTTTCTTCCTTTCTTTACTTTTCCTTTCTTTCTTTCTTTTTTCTTTCTTTCTTACTTTTTCTCCTTCTTCCTTTCTTTCTTTTTCCTTTCTTTCCTTCTTTCTATCTTTCTTTCAACCTTTCTTTCTTGCTTGCTTTCTTTCTTTCGTTTTTCCTGTCTTTCTTCCTTTTTCTTTCTCTCTTTCTTGCTTTCTTTCTTTTTCCTTTCTTTCTAACTTTTTTCTCTTTCTCCCTTTCTTTCTTTCTTTCAACCTTTCTTTCTTGCTTTCTTTTTTCTTTCGTTTTTCCTGTCTTTCTTCTTTTCTTTCTCTCTTTCTTGCTTTCCTTTTTTCATTTCTTTCTTTCTTTTTCCTTTCTTTCTTTCTTTCTTTCTTTCTTTCTTTCTTTCTTTCTTTCTTGCTTTCTTTCTTTCTTTCGTTTTTCCTTTCTTTCTTCCTTTTTCTTTCTCTCTTTCTTGCTTTCTTTCTTTTTCCTTTCTTTCTTACTTTTTTCTCTTTCTTCCTTTCTTTCTTTTTCCTTTCTTTCTTTCTTTCTTTCTTTCAACCTTTCTTTTTTGCTTTCTTTCTTTCTTTCTTTCGTTTTTCCTGTCTTTCTTCCTTTTTTTCTGTGTTTTTTTTCATTTCCCTAAACCAAACAGCGCCTTTGATATACCTTTCTTCCATCTATCCTCGCAAACAGGAATGGTCCATTGTTTATCTGAGATAATGGCAGCACGTATAGTACGTGTTAACAAACAAAGTAACTAAAGAACGAAAGAACACGCAAAAATAGGATATGATTCTTCGACTAGTTCGAAGCACTGTTCTTATCTTTCATTCTTGTTGATCTTAATATTATAGATCCGACATTTCGGCCATGTTCCCTTTGACTATCTTCAGGTGTCAATTATTTTGGCTCTATGAGATATCTTATATCTTCATTATTGCGTTATTTTTGTCCATGTGGTGTTCCTATTTGGATTTTATGATGAATCATAATTCTTATGTTAATGATTCAGTAACCTTTTTCTGAGTTCTACGACTATAAATTACCCTTGGAAATTCCCAAATTACATCGTTAAATATTTAAGCTTAACAACTTCAGTAAAAAATATTACAATAACACAGTATAAATATAAATGCAGGTCATTATTTAATAAAGTAAGAGGGTAGAAATGAAATTGACAATGTTTTAAATTTCACTGAAGTAGACTTTAAACCTTAACACTATCTTCTGTTTCTTTCTTTCTCTAAGATAAATCTGCGTCTTTAATATATTTTATTACAGGGGAAGTCAAGCTACTACAGGTCTATGATTGTGTGGCGGACTTCACCACATTAATCTAACTTTAGATTAGGAAACAAGGCTCACGCAAAAAGGATAACCAGAAGACATTGTTACACATCAAATATGTATTTAACAAAATGTACAATATCAAACAAAGATGTGAAGGAAACCATGCATTTAAGTAAGAAAAGGTTTAATTAATCAAGAGTTGTCTCTCTTTAACTGTTATTTTAGTATTCCAAAGTTCACTGGAAGAATGTTCATGAGAGTCTCTTGTAATGATTGTTCTTGAAAGATATTGCTGTGTAAGAAGAGTTTATGTGAGTGTGTACAAGGTATGTTCAGCGTGTGAGTGGTGTGTGTGTGTGTGTGTGTAAGAAAGTTGACGCTTGGTTTCAACTGTCGTGGATTCGTTTGGCAGTTGAATTCTCACTAATTGAATTGAAAAATATCTTGGCTCAAAAAACGACTATAGGCTCCAAATCTTTCCGCGGGAAGAATTATTCTTCACGTGCATACGATCTGATTGGTTGGCATCGACCAATCAGCGAGCGTCCTTTGGGGAGACTTAAGAAAGCTTCTGTGATCCGTTTCTCCCAAAAGTGCAAAAAATTGACTACTTAAAAATAGAGTGATTACAAAATTGTCGCATTGCTGCGATTTGTAAATTGCCTATAATAACTTAGTGGTGATTTATTAACCAATGAATGCTAGGCATTGTATGTGATTTGTATTTTTGTATGTATGTATGTTCGTGCGTAATAGATCAGCACATTCGCAATCAAACAAGAATAAACCATTGCTTATTTGAGCCAACGTTTGTTTAATGAATTCCTAATTCATTACCTTCCACTCACCTGTAATGGTGCGGTGCTGATCTTAACCTATAAAGTTTGATTGATAAACAGTCTTTAATTTTTGGTCGATGCCACTCTGACTCCCCTGTCTTTTATACGTAAGATTTGTGAACTTTTATACAATTAATTTGAAATTACATTTTTCTTTTCTTATTGATTCTATTTTATTTAAGTCTCTTTGACTTCATTTCACTTTAGTTTTTTCACTTTATTTATTTATTTTGTTTAATTTTATTTTTTTAATATTTCCATACTGAATTCTGGTCTACATGAAACGCATCCCTCAGAGAGCAACCAATATGGAGCCGAAAAATCTGTCACAGGAACAAATTCTTCCAACAATGAAGAGACACTTGGTCACAAAACCCGGACTATTTCCAACCTTGAACCCAGTGACACATTGCCAAATCAATTAACAAAAAGAAATCGAACGAAATAGTCTCGCAAAAAGTATGAACAAATTATGACATACTTCTTCACCGCACTCGAAAATCTATAAAAGAACACCACGAATGAGACATACCAAATATGGAGAACTATAGTAGGAAGTGAAATATGACATCATCTCAACCCAAACATGCTTGTCAATGTCCACAGAAACATCGTGCGAAATAAAAGACTCTCAAATGCAGAAATAGATCAGATAAAACTAAATATAAAACAAAATACAATAAGCCATAACTCAAACAATAATGGGGTGAGAATGGTCACAAATAATATGACAGGATGAAGTTAAGACTAAAATAAATAAGATACGAAATAATAATCTCCCAGTGAAAATAAAAGTAGAATCTATCTTCAATATAGACAACTGCAGATTATGTCACTGAAGATGAGTCAAACGACATTAGGGTAGAATTCCTTGAAAACAATAGCGGTGAAATCACTGAAGCGAAAAACCACATCATTCAGATACCCAGAGTAACTCGCACACAAATGTCAGACCAACTCCCCAAAAGTCACATGACAAAGTTCAATAAACATATTGTGCAAATAGAACGCTGCACTGGAAAGACTGTTAATGGACAAACCACTGGGAAAAATCACAGAAGTAAATAATGTCATATAGGCAACAGCTTCAGCATCTACTGGGAAGCTTAGTGTCAAGACAAAGAAAACATCAAACACCAGCGAAAAAGAGCCAGCCTATATGACAGTGTAGGCCAATATCTGCATTGGAAAGGAAACTGCAAGAAATTGGTAGGAATATCACCCAGAACTGGATACAGAGATAGTGACAAATTTATGGAACTTTACACACAAACAGAACAATAAAAGCTAATCGCCCAGACATTGTGATCAGAGATCGCAAAAACAAAATGTGCCTTCTTATTTACATGGTAATCCCTGCAGACTGAAATGTATCTTGGAAGCTCGTTAAAAAAAAGACTATCAAAATACAAGTATCTTGAAGTGGAAATCTCAAAAGTATGGCAAACGTAGACATCAATAATTCCAATTGTAGTTGGAGCACTCGGATTGATTGAAAATGGTTCCAAAAGAACTTTAAAGATTCTTGGTAAACAAAAGGGATTTCTGGTAAGAAATACAAAATGTAGTACGAACAAGTGCAGCTCACGCATTACGAGGATCTTTATCTATGTAAAATATGTGTAATCTTATTTTTTGTGTTTTTTTTTTTTTTACACAATGCCAGAGAAATATCTCAGACAATGGGTGTCAGCATTCCAAAAATATCGGACCATCTCAAGAAAACTGGCAAGGTGAAAAAAGTTAATAAATCGGTTCCACGTGAACGCAATGAAAATAAAAAAAAAGAATTTTTGAAGTGTGGTCAATGCTACATCTGAGAAATTTGAATGATCCGTTTTGTTTTTTTTGTTGTTGTTTTTTTTTTTATCAAATACTGACTTATGATGAGAAATGGTTCATTTATGACAATCGTAAATGACCGGCTCATCACTTTCCAAAACCGAAAACGTACCAACATAAGATAATGGTGAATGTCTGTTGATCCACCATTGGCTTTATCCATTACAGCTTTTTGGAATCTAACCAGAGCAACCTTGTCGATGCTTACTGCCAGCAGCTGGATGAAATTCACGTTCAGTTAAGCATTAAGCAAAATGGCGCTGGTTAATCGACAATGTCCAGTTGATGACAATTACAATGCTCGACCATATATTGCCAGGATGACGCCGCAGAAGCTTAGGATAGGAGGCTTTGCCACACCCACCACATTCTCCTCAGCTCTCGACCACATTTTCAAGCATCTTGACAATTTTTCAAGCCAAAAGTCATTCTGTTGGAAAGAATATGTAGAAACTGCATTCAATGATTTACTGTCGACTGATCCATAAGAGTTTTATCGTAAAGGCATAAAATAACTTGTAACTTCATAGCATAGACGTTCACGGTTCCGATTTTGACTGATTTAAACATTTTTTAAATACATTAAATCAGAGATAAAAATTAATTCTAAAATCAGACATTATTGTTATGAACAACCAAATAATAACAATAATAATAATACTGGTCGCTCTTTTGCAAATACATCCGTATGCTAGGATGGTTATATATACACACCAGTCAGTTATGTGCCATGCGTGATACATGCTTAGGCGATCATGTATCTTTCGATACATAACTAAAGAGGCAGTTTTTCCCGCAGTAGGTTGCCACTTCTATCTACGGTAGACCAGTTACCATCCTGCAAGGTCTGTCCTTCTATTGACCCATAGCTTGGGGGGGGGGAGAAGAAGATTCATACAATTCCCAAGGCTATTAGCACGTAAGTGAATGTAATGTATTCGACAGGAATTCGAACACGGCTCTACCATACCTTAATTCGAGCCGCTATCCATGACTCTACCGTACACATATATTATACACATATATATACATATAAACAAATGTACAAAATCATACATTCACATAAGTAAAACACATCCAACTACAAAAATATAAATATATATGTGTTTATATATGTATATATTATGTATTTTTTTTTTTTTAAATTTAAATTACTTTATGCTTATTTTTAATTTTATTAAAATAATTAAAATTAAGTAAAAAAAAATATTTTATACTTAATTTTATTTATTTTACTTTTTTTAAAAAAACAAAACCCGTAAATAATATGTTCTGTTCCACTATTATTATAGTCTGGTATATATACCAAAATTTGAATTACGAGATGGTCAGTTTTCAATCAGTGGCTGAAGATTGCGTTGCATATGAAATTCAGAGTTGTGCTACGGGTGAGATGAAATTAATTTTTAAGATATATATATATATATATATATATATATATATGGCGATAGAGAGAGAGAGAGAGAGAGAGAGTCCACCCCAAAAATATATATACACACTTCAGGAAAGGATGTCTTTCGCAGTTTTATCAAATTGCGATATCACTGCCATACATGGACTTTATAGAAATAATGAATTTTTCTTTCAACAAGATACCGTACCGCCACACTACCATCGAGCTTATCTGAATGAGAATTTGCAAGGGTACTGGCTAGGACGAAGAGGTACGGTC